TGTTTAGATTTTGTTTTTAAGGGGCTCTTCGAAGTTGAATTTGTGATTTTTGGAATTTATCTTGAAAATTTTTAGATTACACGTGGCTCCTAAAATGAAGAGAGACAAGGAAATGTAACTTTTGATTCTAATAAGTTTGATGATATTGCACTTTAAAGGAAGATATTTTGCATGTTTTTGGTTTCAAATGGATGTTTAGAGAAAATGAGAAAAAAATAGAGTAAAAATGATGATTTTTATGTGGTGTTATAGCGCCATAGCTCCACTATCGAGCTTGAAGGGCGCTATAGCACCCCAAACTGGCGCTATATGGCTAGTAACTACCTTTCTAGAAGATACATCAAATTTGACCAAGATTTGGAGGGGTTTAGAAGCAACACTTGGTTATTTTCTATTTAATGAGAAGGATTTGGCCGAATCTAGAGACCTTTTGGAGTCTCAAAACTTCAATTAAGTAGCAACAGTGAGTTAAATTCTTCATATTTTGTGTTCAAGTGTAAGTGTGAGTGTGTTTTAGTGTGAAGAAGTTTGGAGATTTCTAAGAGGAAACTCCAGAAGTTTGCTTAGGGAGAAAAAATAAGGTACTTTGTATTTGTGTTTGAGTTTTTATTGTAAGTCTTGGATTTCAATGCAAATATTTTGTTTTTGTTTAATCTCCATGAATTCTGAGTAGTTCCCTTTCTCTCGTCTTGCATATGGGACTTAATCTTGTGGGATGAGAATGATTTAAAGATTTCTTTTTACTCTTAAAAATTGTGATGATATTTTCACCAAATTTTCATTTACTTTGCAAACTAACCACTTGTGAGGTTAAAATCGGTTGAGAAACATAATGATCTAGGAGGGCTATGATTTCACCTAACTAGTAAATATTGCACTTCATTCTAGGCAGAGCCATTGCGATCACCTATGGGAGAGTGCAATAAATAGGGAGATAAGTTTTGATGGGCGTAGCATTGGTTAAATCTAGAGTGACAGGCTATATTCTTATCAGTTTAGCTTAAGGTTTAGTACCCTGACGCTGGGATTCAGTCATTATGATAGCATAGGCTAGGGGCATATAGACGTGAGAGGCTAGATAACATTGACGTTGAGTCGAGATGTTAATGAATCGACCTTAAATTAGCTAAGGTTCTTTGAAAGCATTGGGAGGGGGTAAATAATAAGGTATGCTTCTATTTTTCACAATACCTCAATTTTGTCTTAAATCATTTGAATCCTACATAGGTTAAAATCTCTTTGCAAGAGGAAATGTTTTTCCATTATATTCAAACTAGTTGTTATATTTTGTTGTTACTCTTTTTTTGAGCTCTTTTAGCAGTAATTTTTAGTAAACATATCATTTTAAATCTTTTATGTTTTTAATTTGCAATTTGAATAAAATTTTTGTAAGCTGATTTTAAGAGTTACTGCATTTCTCGTTGGATCAATGTTGGGGTTTTTAAAGAAAATCCTACATTACTTGAAACGATATGTATAATTGTGTAGTACCGCTAGTGTGAAAATCTATAATATAATTCATAAATCATTGCAAGTGTTCACAATAGCCGCTAGATATAAATTGAGATATATTTTCTGACATAATTAAGGATATTAAAAATAAGCGTAAGTACGGTTTTGGTCATCTTATGATGACTACTATTGACCAGCCTATATGATTCTTTCAAGAGCATATGCTAGTCCATAATATCATACATCTACAAAACAAAAACACTTAATATCCACAATAGTTCTACATCTAACTCCAAAATCATGTTTCCATCATTCGCTAACACCATGAACAAAGGCATGCCATACTTTGTTAAATTATTGTCCTTAAAAAACTTCTACTATCATTTTCATATATATCTTTTGGAAAAATAAAGACATACATTATACATCCACCTTTTTAAATAACGATTAATGGTGTACCTTTGTAATTTCAAAGTTAAAAAAAAAATAGATTTGTTTACTCCATTAAATCTTATAGTGTTCCACTAAAAAATTTCTATGTAAAAATTGTCTTTAAGTGTGCATCTTTTTTTTTACCTATGTATATGTGAAATTTTTTGTTTATACTAAAATATAAATCACATTCACAATAAAATTTCTTAAATTCAACAAATATTTGGCCAAAAGTCAGCTCTTTTATTATTTGAACTCCTCCAAAATTGATTTGATGAGTGTAAGTTGAAAGGAATGGTCAATGGCATGAACATGACAAGAAAATTTGAAATGAATAATTGAACTTTTATGGATAGAGAAATATAAAAACTTTTAAATATTGGTCCAATCTTTACTCTTCCTTGCAAGAAATTTGAGCACATTCTTGTAAAGTCTATTGGATTTTATTAATAGTCATATAATACCAGTACATATGTCATTTGAGCTTAAGAATTTTACTCAAAATATTGAGATAATCTTATCCTTATTCTGACTAATACAATTTTAACCTTTTTTTATGCATCTCAAATTTTGTAAGGTGCTAATGAATATGATGTAGGTGAGGCATGATCCTAAGATATATGTAATAATTTTTAAGATCTTTACCATCTACATTAGTTGACTCCTAAAAAATTTGAGCATGAAAGCATAAATTTTATGTTTGTAGGATTCATATAACACATTGGCAATAATTTCAAAAATTATATCAACCAAAGTGGAGTGACATTATCAAATGGATGCCTAATGACCAACAAAACCTACTTGTAAATATTCAAGTAATTTAATCTTTTATTTACTTATTTTTTATTAGTATACTATAATCAAATTCTATGTCGAAAATTTGATGCTTATAGATGTATTTGTTCATTATCTTATGACACAATGAGGCAGTACTAATAGAGCATGCCAGGTTATAAATCTTCCTTAATGAGCATAAGATTTGTCTAGGGAGAAAATTGCACTTGTGATGAATTTCTAGCATGAATTTGGCCGCGTTGATTTTATTTATTTATTTATTTATTTTGGGATGACTATATTACAAAAGTTGATTCATTTATCATATCACACCCATCCCAAAATCAATTAAATTATGATTACAATATCTTAAACCACGTTTTATTCTATTAAGCAAATGAAATTATGGGTCAATAACTTGCTTTTAGATTTTTCTATGAGTGAGCAAATGTTAATGGATTTTAATATTCATTTGTTTTTAACATGCTATTTGCTAGGTTGTAAATTTGATATATATGATTTAAACTTAACCTTAATACATTGATGATGAAATATCGCTTTCTACGTCTCACATGTAATTTCATGTACAATATTGAAAGACAAAAAGTAATATATTGTGAAGGAAAATAGCTTAGGTGTTGCTTTACTCAAATCAGATTAAAGGTTAAATGTGGCTCTCAGATTTGGGGTTGATTTGGCATAATGCTTTTATAGTTTCCCTTAAAATTTGTCTTATTAGGGATGAGGGATACATATCCTTGTTCAAGCCCGGATATTTAAATTTCAATTCGATCATTGTTTCGTACCTATAGAGATCATTGAATCACATTCTAAATTCTCATTGATGATGTTGGTCACTATATAACAATTTGAAACTTACATGCTTATTTTCTTCACAAATAATTCAAAGGAATTTATTTCTTTACTTCAAAAATCACTTAAAAAATGTTATTCAAGCCCAGCTATCTCAAGGAAATTTGACTTTATATGTATGATAATACTCAAAGTTTGACAAACATATCATTTGTTTTTTTTTTCCCCTAGTTAAATATATCTTAATTTTATTTCACCAAAAAAAAAACAAAAAAAAAAAAAAAAAAAAAAACCAACCTTGCATCTACGAAATGCTTTTTGAGGTCTGTCGTAAACAATTTGCTCATGCTGAATCAAATTCAAACCTTTATTTGAACCAATTTCAAACTTTTTTTTTATGTTGTTTCATAACTGAATAAGAAACAATTCAAACATTTATTTGAGTATGATTTAAACCTTAATCAAACTAAGGTTTCCTTGTCTATTCTTCTTCATATGCTGTTGCTCTCATCGTTGCCTTATCTAACTCCTATAGTAAAATCTTCTTCTCCATTGCATGTTGTTGCCCCTATTGATGTCCGCCTTAAAGCACACATAAGAAAGTTCTCGTTTCCATCATTTTACCTCTATTGTCAATGCTCTCTATGAGCAGCCATCACGAAAACCATTTTTCCTTCACATATCACTCCGATTATTTCCCTCTATGCAATCATCATGAAATCCTATACCCTTTCACACACATCTCCCATTAATTGCCTTAAAATGCTCCCATTGTCCTTCACATACCACCATCTCTTAATACTTCCTAGCGACTTCATGTCCCGTTGGTGTCATAAATCCTAAGCTCCCCAAAAAACATATCACAAACCCAGCCTTCTGCTGCTGATGAAAGTATCTTCCACCCAACTCAACCATGTGCGAATTTTGGCACCTTCGCCCAAAAAATCAAACCTTAATTTGAACCAACATTAGAAAAAATTCAAACAAATTTTATAAGAATGGACTTCAATATATAAAAGAATACCATCCATCAAAGATAACCTCTTTCAAGAAACCAACCAACAAATACAATCATTCTTCTCTATTTTCAAATACTGGAAAGCATAAAAAGTCAAATTTTCCATACCATATTCCTTGCATCCTTGAATCATCTCATTTGAGATATTTTTGGACTTCTAAATTCAAGTTGACTTTCAACCATATCCGAACCAAATGATGAGATCAATAAATTTCATCATTTTTAAAAACATCAATTTTGCTCAAAGCAATCAATGTATTACGCTAAGATGGGTTTTGGACATAATATTGGAAGAAACTTGAAAGAAATGCATGTTAAATTAATTCAGGACTAATAAAAATCTGATGAAAAACAACATTTGACATTTCAAACAATATCTTGCATCATATGAGATTAGCTTTGACTTGTGTTTCATATAACACATAGCAAAGTTTCAAAATGTTCGGCAAAAATGTAATATTTTGTTTCATCAATAATTTCATCCTAGTTGCACAAAAAAAAAAAAAAACAGGTCAAGCTGTTACATTTGAGAATGATCAAAATAATACAAACAGGATAGGAGACAACTTCATGAATGAACATATTCCACGCCATCAATAATGTAATTATATATATTATATCTTTATGCTTTTTAATGATTCAATACTAAAGATCCGAAATGGCTCTTAATACAAAATTTAAAGGGCAACCTTGATGTCTACCAAGAGGTGGAGATGACAATTACAGGATATTTGTGTTGCATGCCTTCCGACGCAATGAAAGGAAATCATCATTAGGTCACTCAAAGGATTCTATCTTGGAGATCGCTGAAGAAGTTGGAAGCAAAGGCTGACAGTTTCTTACTAGTCTCCTCGGCAACATTCTTTAGGGATGATATGTCCTGTGAAGCCTTCAGAATAAAACCGATGATGAGTGAAGACGATTGATAAATGCATTTCTTCAATCAGCACAAAATTAAACAAAATCATGTACTCGCATCTGAAAAAACAATTCAGTTCAGCGCTAATTCATAAACAAGTGGCCTTGTCTAATTAAAGGCAAGTGCAAGGAAGAAACTAATCCAAGTATTCAGATAAATACAGGCAATGATGCTATCCAATATATCAAGCATAGCATTTTATCAATTCATAAGTAAAAGAAAAGTTCAGAACACTTCAGCATTTAGGAAAACTACAGAAAGAAAACATACGGCTGCAGATCACAAATTTATACATTCTAAGGAAGCATCATTCGTATATTTTAGTGTGAAAAGCATCGTTAATGACTAAAATCAAACTCATCCCAACCCTTTCCAGATTTACTATATATTCACGCAGCAAGCACTAGTGATAAGCCTCTTCCACAACCCAAAACTCCCTTCTCGGCATAGTTTTCAATTATGCATCGAGTCACTAGGAAATTTTGTTAACATTAATATGTTATCAATTATTAAGAGCAAATATTTATCCCTAAGTGATGCACTGACTACGTTGAGCATAAATAAAGCAAATGTTAACAGAAATACCTGGAAAGAGAGACGATTGATAAGATCTGCTGCATTCAAATCAAGCCCAGAGTCATTTGTCTTATGGCCGAAAAGATCAGAACTGGATATGGCAGCTGAGTTCTGCAAAAAAAAAAATTGATAAATTAGGATGTCATAAAAATCATATCATTTGATTACATGCATACAAGCATAAAGAATAAGGCAAAAGAATGAATAAAAACTCATTTTATTAAGCAGTTCCAGAAAAGAAGAATGCGCTCTCAAGAAAGTTTCAATAAAGTAATCACATATCCAAAATAAATTCATGAAAGAAACAACGCATCTTCTACACTTGGGCACGTCGGTCCATTCAATGTAAAACATTATTATTTGGAGGAATATAATTCTTACAGAGAACTTTTGCAAGGAGGCTTGTGTGTCTGGTTCATTAGCTTTGTTCTGGTCGCCAAAGAATTGCGCTGATGAGATGGATTTTGCATTTGAGAACTTCTGTCTTGCTTCATTGCTTTCCTGATCCTAAATAGCATTGTTAAAACAGGTGAAAGAAGCACATCAATTAGTGATAGAAACTAAAATAATATTCCAAGCGGGATCAATATCCAACCGCACAATGCCAACAGGCTGAAACAGGGTAAAAAAAGTAAACTGTGTGCAATAACAGCACATTCCAAATCTCATGTCACACAATCATGTTGAAAATACTACTATAAAGCAAATATTTAAAGACATAAAAATAACAAAATAAAAAAGAAAACAAAAGCCCAAATTGCATCAGTAATGTTTACACATGGGTTGTAGCAATATCAATGCATGTAGATTGGAAACCTGCTATATGCATCTTAACGAAAGAAAGCAGTAATCTACCGCAAATCACCATTATTTGATTTACAAAGAATAAAACTATCATGTATCTAAATTCACATAATCTTTGATTCTCATAATTATTTGCATCATTTAAATTTATATACCACCTAAACTTGGACATTTACATGCATAACACTCAAATCTTTAAGATCACATGAAAAATATCATTATCAGGCCATTTTTAAAAGTCGAATACATCTCTCTAGCATTGTAAAGTTAAATGTAACTATCAAACTTTAGGTGTTAGATAAGTAAATACACAATGGTTGGTATGTATGTAGATCTTCCTATTTATATTAGAAAATTTTTAGTTTTGTAGCCTACAAAGTATTGCGATTAAATATAGAATTGAGGTAATGCGATAGGGATATGTTCTCACCACCAATAAAGAATTGAATTCAAGGGTGTATAAATCTAGGCTAGAACAGAAAAATGAAATATAATTTTAAAAAGTGCATTACGAATGAATTCTGTTTCCCATACATAAATGAACAAACATCATTTCCCTGAGTAGCATTGAAAGCACTTTAATAACAACAAACCTTAGAAATCAATTGAAAAAAGTCATGTTTTTACATTTTAATTGTTATCAATTATCATTGCAGTTTATCAAAAACATTTCTTTGCACAAATAAAAATAAAAAAAAAAGTTGATAACACTTACATATTACATTCGGTTATTAAAGGTGAGTGCCAGTTTGAGCAGCTTATAGGTTCCATAAAACATATAAAAAGAACCGTAAAAATAAACGTCAACTCTTCAAAAGTTTTATTGTGAGAGAGAAATAGAGCTCCGAGGAATTCCATCAACGCTTTCTTTAAATATTTGGAATCAGAAATCTTGATGTCAGTGGAACTTAATAAATACCATTAAGGCTCTAATTTAATAGCACTTATATGTACTCAAGCCATAAAACATGGCAATGAGATTTTAAGATTTTCATCTATCTTTAAAGGCAAAATTGGCAACAAAAACAGCTGGCATGGATGCATCCTCAAACTTGTTTTGTCAGAAGGACCATACTCATGTCAGATTCATCTTTATATTCTAATTCACCCATCAAAATGCCTGATTCAATAGTGGCAGAATTTCTCCTATCCGATCTAACTGTGTCGTGTTTCAATGCCCTCATGATCTCATAAATAATTGCTTTTTTAATTCTGCAGCAAAAATGTTAAGCTCTATTCCTCTCTATTGCAGCCTTTTGAATCTTCATGTCTCTCTAGCCATCTATCACTGCCTTTGTAGGTCCTCCCTTGCTCAATAGATCAGTCACCTCTCAACGTTCCCCTACCAACAAGACTGCACCCTTATTTCTCTCCCTTTCACCATGAAAGATCATCTGTTGCCCATTACCTCTATCTTTCTCGCCTGGCCACCTACATTACTATCTCCCAACTCAGTTATTCCTTCCCTCCAGCTATTACTTGTTATCACATTCACTTCTGGAACTCAATACACGTAACTTTATATTGTTTTATTTCCATGCTGTTTAATAAAATACAACTTTAGCAAATCTCAAAAAGACGAGAATAGCTGTGCAAGTTTGTTTCCAGTTTGTGGAAGTGTCACACGTATTAATTGTTATATAAAGCTTCTCATCATGCATTCTTTGCACAAATAAGAATCATGATATATTAGTTTTCTAAAAGGAGCCGAACAACACCAAACAATGTCTTCCGTTCTTTTTTCACACAACCAAAACTTTATAATTAATACATAAGCATTGGCATAACCGTTTGAAAGAACTATGCTAGTGAAAATAATCACATTATTCTCAGTTATTACATGGATTTTAATGTATTTAAAAACTAGCAAAATTATACTTCTATACATAACTTCTGGGTATTCAAAAAATTACATCATCCATGTGTCTCTTGTGTGCCATGTTAGTTTTGTGCTAATTTGGTGCCTCATATTGGTGCTTCATAAATGACAGTAAGGGTGGTGCGTTTAGGGCCGTGTATCCAGCGCGGTGCAGTCCCAAGCTGCACTTTTCTTTTTTTTCGTTTGGTTATCACGTTTTGATGTTGTTTCAAATAATTTCCGCAGAACGCGGGCCACGGGTACGTTTCCTATTATATTCCGCTGCTTATTTTTACTACCCTACCCTCTTCTCTCGTCCCCGAGCCCTCTCTTGCAACCGATTTTCCCCTCATCTCTTGCTACAACTTTGGCTTCTCCCTCCGAGCACTCTCGCAACCGACTTTCCCTCTGCTCTCTCGCGACCAATCCTCTCCACGGTATTCTCTTTGAACTTGTCTTTGGCATTATAATCTTGTGATTGGTACTTCTCTTGCTAGTTTTAAATTGAATTTTCTCTTACTAGTTTTCGATTGATTTTTCGAATGGTAGTTCTCTTTGCAGATTTGCGTTAGTGTAGAATTTCTTTCTCAGGGTGATGCCCTTTAGTGTGGATACTGTGGTGGTCGTTCTCAGGGTGATGCCCTTTAGTGCGGATACTGTGGTGGTCGTGCTTGTGGTAAGGTGGTTGTTGGCTGCGGTGGCTCTGTTATGGGATGTGGTGGTTGTGTGTGGCACTATGGTGGCTCTGCTGTGGGCTGTGGTGGCTATGGGTTTTGATGGTTGGAGTGTTGTGGTTGTATTGTGGCTCTGGTTGTGTCGTGGGTTGTGTGGTTGTGTGGTGGTATTGTGTTGGGGTGATGGTGATTGGTTGTGGGTTGGGGTGCTGGTAGTTGGACTGTATGGTGGCTCTAACTTGTGTTGTGGGCAGGTGTTTGTGTTGTGATTGTCTGGTTGTGGTGTGGTTAGTATTGGGTTGGGTTGATGGCTGAAAAGTAGTGGCTTTGTTGTGGGTTGTGGTGGTTGTGTGAATTCAGGACATATATGTGGGTGGCTTGTGATGGCTATGAGTTGGAGTTGTGACTCTATCGCTGGTTGCATTAGTTCTGTGAATTCAGTGCAAATGTGATTGTGGTGTGGTGGCCCTGGGTGGTTTGGTGGTTGGCTGTGCATATGTGACTGTGGTGTGACATGGGTTGGGGTGTTGTGGTTGTGTGGTGGCTCTAGCTTGTGCTGTGGGTTGTGTGTTTGTGTGGTACTTGTGGGTTGGGTTGGTGGTAGTGAGTTGTGGGTTGGGTTGGTGGTAGTGAGTTGTGGGTTGGGGTGTTGTGTTGTGATGTGGCTCTAGGTTTTTGGTGTTTGGGTGTGTTGTGGTAGTTGCGTGTGGCTTTACCGTAGATTGTGGTGGTTCTATGAATTCAATACAGATGTGGCTGTGGTGTGGTGGCCCTGGGTTTTGGTGGTTGGTTGTGCATATGTGGTTGTGTTGTGATGTGGGTTAGGGTGTTGTGGTTGTGTGGTGAGTATGGCTTGTGTTGTGGGTTGTGTGGTTGTGTGGTACTTGTGGGTAGGGGCGGTGGTAATTGGCTGAGTTGGGGTGATTGTTGCGGGTTGTGTTGTGTGGTGATGTGGCTATGGGTTTTGATGGTTGGGTGTGATGTGGCTATGGGTTTTGATGGTTGGGTGTGATGTGGTAATTGTGTGGTGGCTCTGTCGTGGGTTGTAGTGGTTGTGTGAATTCAATGCATATGTGGTTGTGGTGAGGTGGTTTGTTGTGCATATGTGGTTGTGGTGTAATGTGGATTAGGGTGTTGTGGTTGTGTGGTGGCTCTGGCTTGTGATGTGTGTTGTGTAGTTGTGTAGTACTTGTGGGTAGAGGTGGTGGTAGTGAGCTGTAAATTGGGTTGGTGGTAGTGGGTGTGATGTGGGTTGGAGGGTTTTGATGTGGGTTGGGGTGTTGTGTTGTGATGTGGCTTTGGGTTTTGGTGGTTAGGAGTGTTGTGGTAGTTGTGTGGTGGCTCTGTCGTGGGTTGTGGTGGTTGTGTGAATTCAATACATATGTGGTTGTGGTGTGGTGGCCCTGGGTTTTGGTGGTTGGTCGTGCATATGTGGTTGTGTCGTGATGTGGGTTGGGGTGTTGTGGTTATGTGGTGGCACTGACTTGTGTTGTGAGTTGTGTGGTTGTGTGATACTTGTGGGTAAGAGGTGGTGGTAGTTGGTTGTGGGTTGGGGTGGTTGCTATAAGTTGGGGTGATTGCTGTAGATTGGGATGATGGCTATGGCTTGTGCTGTGATGTGGGTTGAAGTGTTATGATGTGGGTTGGGGAAGTGTTGCGATGTGATGTGGCTCTGGTTTTTGGTGGTTGGGTGTGTTGTAGTAGTTGTGTGTTGGCTCCACTGTGACTTGTGGTTGTGTGAATTCAGTGCATATGTGGCTGTGATGTGATGGCCCTTGGTTTTGGGGTGGTGGCTCTGTCGTGGGATGGGGTGGTTGCTATGGCTTGTGTTGTGTTGTGGGTTGGAGGAGTGTTATGTGGGTTGGGGTGTTCTGTGGTGGCTCAGTTGTGGGTTGGCGTAGTTGTGTGAATTCAGTGCATATTCGACTGTGGTGTGGTAAATTCAGAGCCTATTTTGCTAGTTTTAAGCTGCTAGAGATAATGATTTGGCTACTATAGGTTATGGTGGTTGTTTTGTGGGTGCCATCTCTTCCATATGAATGATATGTTACCAAAATTATGGTATGTTAGATGAGCTCAAAAGAACTCGATAAATATCTATTCTTATCAATGTGTGCATCATGATCTCCAAATAAGGAAGATAATTGGATGGGTTGTTGTGATTGTGTGGTGGCTCTGGCTTATGTTGTGGGTCGTTGAGTTGTGTGGTTATGTGGTTGTGAGATACTTGTGGGTTGGGGTGGTGGTAGTTGGTTGTGGGTTAAAGGCAATAGTGGGGTGTTGTGGTTGTGTGGTTTGTTGTGGGTTGGGGTGGTGGCTCTGGGTTGTGGTGGCTCTTCGTGGGCTCTGATGATTGTGCATTAATATCCAATAATTCGTTGTGGGTTAAAGGCAATGGTGGGGTGCTTTGGTTGTGTGGTTGTGGTATGGTTTGGTGTGGGTTGGCGTGATGGCTTTGGCTTGTGGCGACTCTCTGTTGGCTGTGGTGGCTGTGCATTGACATCCCATAGTTGGTTTTGGGTTAAAAATAATGGTGGGGTACTGTGGTTGTGTGGTTATGGTATGGTATAGTTGGTTGAGGGTTAAAGTTAATAGTGGGGTGCTGTGGTTGTGGTCGTGGTGTGGTTTGTTGTGGGTTGGGGTGGTGGCTCTGGCTTGTGGTGGCTCTCTGTTGGCAGTGGTAGATGTGCATTGATATCCCAAAGTTGGTTGCGGGTTGTCATTTGACTAGTTGAGGTGGCTAATTATTATATTGTGGTTGTTGTCAAATATTAATGTTTTTTTTTTGTTTGTTTGTGCTAGTAAAGCACTAGTTAAGTCTAAAGAAGACGGTTCATCAGCCACATGGGATAAGAAAGGCAAACTCATGTTTTGCGACCTCTGTCTTAAGGAGGTTAAGTTGGGAAATAAGTCCAACACCTATTTTAACAAGGTAGCCGAATATTATGATGAAATTCAAGAACATGACAGAAAGAGAGTATGATAGATTGCAATTTAAGAACAAGTGAGATCATTTGAAGAAGAACTGGAAATTATGGAAGAAATTAAAATGGGGATTCACGAACTTCGGTTGAGATCAAATCAAACGGACTATTGATTCCTCGAAAGAATGATGAACAGAAAAATTGGAGGTAACAATTTTCATTATTTAATTTTGATTACACGAAAGACTCTTTTCTAGTAATGTCTCTTACTGAACTGTTTAAAGTAATCAACTTTCCCGCATATTGCAGGTAGTGTCGACCACCAAGAAATTCAAATATTGTGAAATTGACCCTGAGTTAGAAGAGAAGTTGGATCATATGTTCGATGGGGTTGTAGCAACAGACACTCATGCCTTCAGCGTAAGTGAGCATACTTTTGCTAACATACCAGAGAAGTTGGAAGCCGAACAGGTAAACTGGCTCCGCTGAAGGCCCATGCCCAAATCAAAATGAACTAGAGTCCACATGCAGATCAAAGCGTTCTCGGGTGGAGAAAAAGAGAAAAGAAGCTATCAAAAACAAAATTACAAGTCTAGTGGATGCACACACAAGTGAGCCTGGGACTTCACATGACACCTCCGTAAACGACTTTCTCCGAGTTCTGGATTTCCTCACCCACCACCAAGTTTGTTCAAATAATAATCGTATTTCTTTGTTTTTAAATTCAATAATATTTTTTGTATTTAGGTCAAATAAATATTATTTGGTCGATGTTGGATATCCCTTACAAAGAAGATATCTGAAGCTATTTTCAGATACCAAATATCACATTCCCGATTTTGAAAGTTCCGCCGATATTATACGGGATAGAAATAAAATGTTTAATGAAAGACACTCCTTACGCAACGTAATTGAAATAAAATTTGGTGGGGAAGAAAAAATGGATCATACCGTGTAATGTGCCGACGTATCCATTTTCGAAGCAGGTACAGATTTTAGTTGCTACAATGACTCTGCACAATTACATTGGACGACATCATTCTTGAACTGATGTAGACTTCAGCATGGCTGACGAAGATCTTTTACAGGTCCCAATAGAAGCAATTGAATATCACATAGGACAATCTATATTACAGCTAGAAGTGAAATCACAAGAATGTTACACCCAGGGTGACGACGGTGCCTTGGAAATGTTTGTATTGAGAGTGGATTACGAACCCCATTGTTGGAGGTTGATTGGACGATCATTGTTTATGTTATACAACTCATTTTTATTTTCAGTTCCTTCTATTATTAAAATTATTTTTTATTCCTTTATATCATACAGCGCAACAACTTTCTGGGGCAATTGCTTATCAACAGCTTATTGATAAGCTGCAGCTGCCCCAAACAGACCCCAAATAAAACATGTGAAAAGAGATTCCATTAGCACTTTCAAGTTCCTGTAGATCAACACATACTAAGAGGTTTTAAGTTATTCCTTTCAAAAACACCCCACATTTCTCAAGCATTCAAATACACCTCACATTTCTCATCTGCGTGAACATTCCCAGCCGCTCTTTTTCTCTCAAAAATTGCTTTCGAGTCTACCAAAGTGACAAAGAAAAACAAACTGCAATAGTAACCATATCATTTAAATCCCCCCACCAATCAAAATAAAATAACATACAATAAAGTCAATCACAAAAATCTATAATAACTTTTTTGTAATTTCAAAATGATTTATGGTTTGCATAGTCCCTATCATCTCAAGGGAAAACAAAAATCCCACATCAACAAAGCCTCATGAACCTTAAAGGATTAATACACATCACATGAAGAAAAGATAACAGAGCATTTCCCTTCACTTTAATCAAGAGATGATAGCATTCCACAAGAACAAAAGTTTAAATGTAATTCCTGACCTTCATATCAAACATAAGAAGGCAATTATCAAAATATTCAACTTTTCAGGTGTAAATAAGTGGTATTCTTAACCTATGGGCGTTTAAACTATTTTCTTCTGATCTAGTAAAGATAAAAGATGACTAAAACCAGAAATCAGCAAGCACTGCGATGAAACAAGTCAATTACGACAGACAACAATTTAATGGAAAATTCACGGGAAATTTTCAAAAACATTAACTCGTTAAAGTAATATTCAATATTTCACCTGAACTTTTGATGAAATAGAACTTGACTTCTTCTGAGATCCGCTGTCCATTCCAAAGTCTAAAAAGAAGCTTGAAGTTTTAGGAGGAGAGACATGGCTCATTACTTGAGTTCCTCCAGAACTACTCTCAGCAGATGAGCTATCCGCATACTCAAAACGAGAAGAAAAGGATAGGCCAACTGTTGGGGCTGAACTGATCGAGGAAGTTAGAACTGGTGCTGGTTCTTCAGGTTTCTGATCATAAAGGCTTTCATTTTGCTGCACAATGACAACGCACGTTAATGAGAATATGGCATTATCCTTACGTTTCTTCATAAAAGAGGATGGTTGTGAAAAAGAGAGAAAGAGGGAGCGAACGAGCGAGCTGAGGTTAAGAGGGTGGCATGGCTTAATCTAGAGTAAAACTGCTCCATACAAGAATGTTAAAGATTGCTTTTAAATTTGCAGATATAACTGCGAAAACAGAAAAAAAATTTGTAATAGAAAATGACAATCAACATGATATGATATTTAGTCCAGTAAACAAGCATCATGTAAATATTCCATTGAATTCTTTATTATCTTAGCGGCCCCATAGAAAGTCTTGAAAGTCTGAGAGACTCATTTCTCTCGCAACTTCTTGTTAAATCGGGGATGCAAATAACAAAAACATATGAGCATGATGTCTACAAAATTCAACCTTCTAGAGTGCATCCAACTTTGTCCAAAAGCTGAATCACAGAATGTCTGTAATCATTGCTTCTAAAGCTGCTGCTATAACAGCTAAATTAGAAAGGCTCGCTCGTAATGGAAAAAGAAAACAAACAAAATCAGCTTTTAGACCACAGAACAAGATCATGCAACTGTCTAATAAAAATATTATATTAGCCTAGTGCACTAATAGCAAAAAAAAAAAGCAATTTTCAAGGGAGATGCAACACGGATCAACTATGACTATAAAATTCAACCTGTTAGGCTCAGGTGACTTGACAATTGATTGAAGTACATTTCATAAGAATTATTTTGATACATAGCATTCACCTTTGTGGTAAGCTTTCGAACACCAAGGCCCCCAGATTTGCCTCCTTTCTTTAAGCCGATGGGTTTCTTAATAACTGCTGAATGAGTAGAAGCTTTAGGAGAATGAACTGTATCAGCAATCTCATGCTTTTCAGTAGTTTTTTCCTTGCTTTCTGATTCTAAAAAATTGAGATCAGGGAAGACATCACCAGCATGTGGTGCTTGGGATGTAATAGGAGATGATGGTGAGCTGGTATCGTCAGCAGAACTTTTGGCAACTTCTTTTGAAAGCAACTGCTGGTATAACTCTGCAGCTCTAGATGTATACTTTGCCTCAATTTTCCCACCATCTGTCCATCCATGTTGCTTGAAGAAAACATGAGCACGATTATTACCACCAAAAATCATCCTTTTCAGATGCTCGGGGCTCCACGAATCCAAATTTGTTGACCTGTCGATCATTTCAATCTTTTAAAAATAATTTGTTCACATCAAATTTGTTATCAAGATTGGAATCAAGTGAATGGAAAATTAATTTAAACCAAATAAAGGAACAAATAGAAATAGAAGCCTCAAAAACCATCTATAAGTAAAGTCAGTACTTCAAATCCATATAGGAATGGCAGTAATCCAAGATATTTAATAAATTTCAAAACCATCATAAAGATTGGATTTGCTCCATGAAAATTAAGAACTTGAATAGGTGGGTAAAAGAATTAGTGAGCAAAATGATTACAAGCAGAATCAAAATGCTAACTTACAAAAACTAAGGAAAAAGGAAATAAATCTAAAGATAATGGGGAAAGTCATAATATAATGCATGTTAAAGGGTAAACAATAGGAATGGAGTAGGGATTGTTTAAGGTAAAGTTCAAATGATAAAATTTTTGAGGTGTAGAGCTAGTTATAGTGTGATTACAGTTCAATTAGCATTATAAATATAATTAGAGCTTACGCTCATCTATCGAGTTGGATTAAAAGCGAGTTTGAAAAAAGATTGAGATGAGCTGCATGATCAGCTAAAACATGAACTTGATAATTTAGATTGACATATTACTTTTTGTAGGATTGGCCATGATTATTTCATGGTGGGTATGGAACAGAAGACAGGAATACATAGAGAAAAGCTATATTTGATTTCAAAATAGCATAAAAAATTGTAATAAAGATAAAAAACTTTAGGAAATGAAAATATCACATAGTTATATATAAGAAAAGTAGTGAAAATTATATATAGGTGCCTGCATAACAATGAAGAAGATACAAAAAAAAAAATGCATAAATAAAATTAAAGTGCTAAGATTGCGATAAAAAAGGAGGAAGAACAAAAGTTGTTCAAATAAAAAAAGAGAAATAAGTTTAACAGTACATGCATGAGGGCAAATAGGAATTAAGAATTCATAAATCAAATCCCAGAAAATATGGATAAGGCAAATAATGATGATGATGATTATGGCAAGTCAGCACATAAGTCTCAATCGAATATTCACAATAAAAAGTAAAAGCAAAATCAATGACTCAAAGAGACTTTGAATAAGAAATGCAATAACATTAAGTTTCTAATTCATATATTGAAAGTGAAATTAACAAATACTATTGGCATCAGTTAAATTTAAAAAAAAAAAGCTAATAAGGATATGGAAGTATATGCATGGAAGGCATTTGGAAGCGATATGGATTTTTTAAGATAATGGTGATTCAAATCAAACAATTTAGCGAGAAAATGAGTCCACAATATAATGATTTGCTGATTTTTCTTGTTATAGGAAACTCATCCGATTTTTGCCTAATACTAATTATTTTTTATAGATGGTTTGCTACAATACAGATGGTTGTTATAGCTTCTTCAGTTGCTACAGTGCCCAGGCAAAGAGGAAAAGGGACTTTCAGTTGCTACAGTGCCCAGGCAAAGAGGAAAAGGTTTGATAGGAAAAGGTAGGATAGGCAAACTTTTGAGTGGGCTTGAATAACTTATTATATGTAAAAGATAGCCTATTTATAGATAGGAAAAGGTAGGAATGAATTTGAATGAATTTAAATTTAACTATACATGTGGAAAAAAAATTGGTTTGGAACATGACATATTCAATGGATATTTATACAGAAATGTGCTTAGAAAAAAATTGAAAACTATACAATTTCTAAGAAGCAATTAAAACAACTAAATACTTAAAATTGCTATTATGGATATGCTAGAAAACCGCCCTTTTCCACCTTCCACTTTTTCCATCTACAACTCAATCCATGCCAATCTTCTTTCCTTATTTAGCATGGAAATTTGCAGCCCCTGACATCAATTCAATGCTGCCAATTAGAGAGCAAATATGTTGCCTTTATTCTTCCTAACTTAGCACAAGAACTCATGTCTCATTTATTTCCTGATTTGCATGTGAATCCATGGTACATTACCCTCCTTATTTATCCGCCCATTACTATTGACTTTAAGTAGCTTACATGCTTTGAATACAGGATTGTAAAATCCTTTGGTAAAAATATCAGAGTTGAACTCTCATTAGCAGGCAAGAAGTGCAAATTAACCAAAATTTCATTTTGTTTTAATGAATGCCTATCCACCTCCACATATTTGCATCAATCACATTGTAGAAGATTAAAAGCAATGCTGATAACATACTCAATATATCCTCTTATTAACTTCTCGTTTCATCTTTAATCTATTGATATAATTTTAATCCATAGGAATTCACATATATCTTAAGCGATTGATTTGAATTAAAATTCAACACTTGACCTCAGGACTGTTTTCTTATTCCACTAAGTTATAAGACTTCCACCTAGTATTGTACCATATCCTAAAGTGGATCTCCTATCCACTGATGATCTCACTTAATTAGCATCAATATAACTTTCAATTAATAGACCGTCAATATTTTTATAAAAAATTCCTTTTCAAATTTGAGTTTATATTTCTACCAACTTTATAAAATTTAAAGTAATAATCAATTAGTTTATGATAAATATGGCACTGTTAGCATAAACAGAGTGAAAATTAACCATGTTTTCAACCTAGCTCAGTTAAACCTTTGCATGATTTGTAATTAGAAATTTTTATTTTTGAAAAATAGTCTATAACATACTTTTATGAGAGAAAAAATTTCTTTTTTAATTGAACTAACTATTTGCCCGTAAAGTACTTGAGCTTTGATGAGTCCTTTGATTTCAATTTAATTTTCCTTATTATTATCACCTGTAACAGTAATATCATCAATATATACAATAAAAATTGGCATTAATCCTTTAGTGAAATACTTCATAAGAGTGTGATTTTGTTGACTTTATTTCAATCTCCATTCCATAAATAGCTTTTATAAATCTTGCCAAACCATGATCTTAAGGATTTTTTAAGTACAGTGCCGTTTTTTTAATTTGCACTAGTTTCATGTGAAAAAGCAGTTGAATTTTAATGGAAGATCCATATGGACTTCATTTGCATCTCCAAATAAAAAACGATATTTGACATCCTGTGATACATGGATAATCTAAAGTTAGCATGATGAGAGATTAAGATACAAATAGTATTCATTTTGGTGGCAATAAAAGAAAAAATTTATTGTTATTCTAGTTGTTATGATTAAAGTATATTCTTTGCTACTGGCCATGCTTATATTTTTTCAAGCTTCCATCAGCTTTATACTTTAATGAGAAAGCGCCCATTTGTATCATACAAATAATTTTCTTTTTAGCAACTCAAATATCACCTAAGCATGATTTTCTTCCTAGGCATTCATGTCTTTCTCATGGCATATTCCTAATTCTTGTTTTCTAATTTCAAAAACAAAAAAACAATGTTTGCCAATTATTAATAGTGTCAAAGCTAATATTTGTAAAAAAAGCCATTATGCATAAGAGAAAATTTTTGAAATGATGCGTAATGAGTTGGGGGTGTAGAGGAGGATGTGTGAAAATCGGTTGCTTATGATTATGGGAGTTGAATGATGAAGGTTTTGAGACTTTAAGCCTATTAGATATTTTGGATGGGACATTTTTTTGTATAGACCTCAATTGATGAAGTGACAAGATCAAATTGTTTGTTCTTATGTTATTATAAAAGGGAGGTAAAGGGAGAAGATATTAAATTCATCAAAATTTTCTTCTCTTTGATTATTTCCCCCTTATAAAAAAAATTCTTATAAAAATAAAGAAAATCCATTTTTCATTATAGCATCTTTTGAAGTGAAGAATATTTTGGTGTTCGGATGATGGTATTTATCCTTTTTCATAGGTGAATACCTTGTAAAAATACACTTAAGCACTCTAGAAACAAAGTTAACCTTTGTTGTTTAAGTATGTAATTATAAAACAACAAAATATTTATGGAGGAATTTTTAAAAAAATAAATATTTGTAGGAAAAAATTTGATAAGACGGCAGATTTTTAAAGCCAAAGAGTATTCTATTAATTAAATATGAAGAGGTTGGGATAGCTTCTCCTTAAACATAATTTTAAAATTGAAATATCTTAATTTTTTATGTATCTCCAATTTGATTTTTTTTATCATAGAAATACAACATGAAAAAATATAAATGACATCATATTCTTGTTACATAATATAAACTTATGCCCTTTAAAATCATCAATAAATATTATAAATCCTATAAATCCAGATTTGACGAATTCTTTAAGGTCTCCAAACATTAAGTTAGATTTATTTAAAAGCGGTTAATTGGTCATTATTCATTTTTAGAACAAGAAATTCTATGATGTTTAGCAATCTCATAAGTCTCATGAAGAAAGTTTTCAAATGTTAACATCTATAACTAAAGAATAAAATCTATATTTAAGTATTTTAAAAGATATATTTCCAAGCCTATAATGATGATCACAAATGAATTTATTTTTCATTTAAAATAGATGTAAGGAAGTGGGATAAATGATTCTTTTCTTTGAGTAGTTAAATTATAACTTTGTCCAGCTTACCCAATCATCTTTCTCATAGTTAGGTCCTAAAATACATAATAATCAGTAAAAATGTCGCATTGCAATTACGACATTTGATGATTTTATAATTGGGTAAAAAGTTACTAAAAAGTTAGGAGCATATAGCATATTTACGGTGAATTTAGAAGAAATAAGAATATTTCCTTATCTTGCGATAGTGGTTAAGTATGTATCCATCACCCACTAGTGACCCACTAGTGATTAAGTATCCATCACCCACTAGTGATTAAGTATCCATCAAGTGTAGAAAGTGTTGACATAATTTGTCATATGATCGTTGACTGTTGAACTATTATTCAAATTGTTGGAAATCCATTTGAAGCATTAAAAAAAAGGGATAATTACATACAAACCACCCTAAACATTGATATTTACAAATTAACCGCCCAGGTGAATTTGTCGAACCGTCGAACCAATGTATTTACTTGTGCCACGATAAAAAATATTCAGAGTTTTATAAAAGTGAAAAACATGGATTGGGTGGGGTTCTACCAT